ATCCCTCGAATGGATTGCTAAATATTCAATTAGCAGCCTGAATCGTTAATGGATTGTTTGTATGACATCGGTCCTTCACGGCACCCCAAAAAAAGTCAAGCGGAGTTAAATCGCTGCTTCGCAGCCTATTCACATCGCCGATACGGCTTATAACACGTTTACCCCGATTCGGCAGTTTTGCTTGTTAACGTAGACGCTTCGTCAAAATAAGATGTTTCGAGCAGATTCTGCGATTTTTCCCAATGTGGTTCCAGCTTTAAGCTGTTCATTTCGTTCCGTGAGGACAGAGTATTCACTGTCAAAACACCATATGATTCAAAAAACCACTATACGGACCACCTTCTACATATATATACAAGTATATACATAACGTATGTATGCAGGAACATATGTATTGATATTCTGTGGTCATTTTTGAGCTCATACGATTGGCACGCATGTCACCCCCAGAACATGGCCCTGACCATGGCCATGTGTGTATTGGTGGCGAGTCTCTGCCTTTGACTTTGATTTCTTTCGGCCTTCTCTTGCTAGAAGAGTGGCTGGCGACGCAATTAGAATAATACGCAGAATCGCGAATGTTTAAATGACAACGCATTTTTTGCAGTGCAGTTGGAGGTAGCTGTAATTTAGGGAAACGCTCTCCACTTGATGAGCGAATGAGCGAATGAGCGAAGGCATTATTTGTTTACACAAACCAACCTTCCTTCGAAACTTCCACATGCTTCGATTGTTGCAAGTTCAAAAATTCATTTATACTTGTACTACTACGTCAGACAAAATAATTGGATTACAAAAATTCCACACGACTGAGTAAGGGGCAAGGGGCAAATACTGGGGCAATTACTGTAGGAAATGCGTAAAAATAAACATCAATATACTTACTTATACAAGTATGTACATACTACATTCGAGATTTCGACTAAAGATGACGGTCAGATCTGTTAGTCCTTTAACTAGCGTTTGACAAACTCAAATTCATAATTTTGGAAAACCCATAATTTCAATTGGTCAGACCGTGGCAAATAAATTCCCTTGCCCAAATTCGCACAAATAAAGTCAAATAAAAATCTCGTATTGCCTGTTGATAGGGAGCGTCTATATACCGAGTTTTGTCAATGTGAGCTCAGCAGTTTTCGAAATCTAGGCGTTCATCCAGACAGACGGACATGGCTATATCGATTCGTCTCGTCACGGTGATTAAAAATATACAAACCTTAAGGAATCGGAATGCTTCTTTCCGTATATATCCATTACATAAAAAGAATGGAATCCTGAAGGAATACATCTGTACGTACTCGTGCGAGTATGTCGTTACCCTATATTTTCTCTTATGGATTTGTTTTTGTTGCAGTCGGCTCGTACTTAACACGATGATAAATTAATAAATGATAATAATTAAACGCGCATATCCGGTAAGCATTTGCACGTAAATTGTCAGATTTGATGGAAACGATTTTGAAGAATTTGCAAAGCACAGATCCCTTCATATAGCCATGAGCCGGCCATTCTCGAAATAGAAAAAAGGCAGATGAATGTATAAGTAGTATGTCTGTATATAGCTATGTAGACGTATATAAATATTTACTTAAACTTTGAAGCGAAATGACGTCGACGACCGACGCAAGAATTTTGGAATTCGGCACGGTTGAAGGACGCCTACTTGTTAGCATCATTATACGTAATGATTGGTGTACCCTACCCCCGTCGTGTAGTAAGGGATTAATGGTAGCTTTGTCCCCCACAATTCTTGATTAGCATGGACGATCTGAACGAACGCATGGATCTCAGAAACGGCTGAGGCCACACTGACCAAACTTTGTATGTACACTATCCAAGTCACTTAGAAACACAGACTTACTTGTATATATTATATACCTATTATTATATACTTATACAATACTTGTATATTATTATATATTTCCTCCTACCATGCTTTAGAATTTCGTCACTATGTTCAGTAAATAGGCTTATATTTAAACACCTGATAACCGTAATCCCAAGCTTCAGCAGCAGTTTCTGCATTTTTTGGTTCTGCTATAAGCGCGTATAACAACGTACTTTTGAATCCATGTATGTATCTATTTATATTTATATATCACAGCGGATACGGGGTATTTCACTGTCGGATTGGCTTGACTGTAATATTCTCCTGTGTTTCGTTTGTCTTTATTGTTTTTGTGGCTACTCGTATACTCAGATGTATACACGTATGTATGAATGTTTACACAAGAAATGAAATTGTGGACTGCATACTTGGGTGGGTGGATGGACGGTTTGGTGGTTCGTGATACTTATTTTCTATCTGACTTTGAGATTTTCATGAATCAGAGTACATTTTTGTGCACACACATCCTCATTCATATTTCATTTTGCTCTGTGTTCCCCTACTCTGTTGTCTTCGTGGACAGTACATTCTGTCTTTACATACACACTGCGCGTCATCAGGTTAGCACACCCCTGCTTTTAATAGTTTCCCCTCAATTCTATTAAAACTAAAAAAGATAAAATTCTAAAAATTCCGGCGATTATAAACAAATTAATGTTTAACTAAATTAGACAAAAGATAAATGTTCCTCCATTTTTCAATATTAACAAAAATTTTTTTGCTAATCCACCAAAAATCAAGAAAATAAATGGTCATCAGGTTAACACATAGCACTTTTTTTTTTAATTTTTAAACCTTTTCAGGTAGGAACTTATTTTGAAACTTATATAGTAACTAATTTAAGCATTTCTTTATAATTTGAATAATTAGTCGATCCTCCCTAGTTGAGAATTATCTCATAGATCCAATACTATAATAAAGGAATGGCTGACCAAGTACTTTTAATGCCTTCAGTCAATTCCTCTTTGTTAGAATACTGTGTGCCAGATTCGTTAACTTTGCGAGCCAGCTATCCCTACACGTGACCCATTTTTTTGATGTTCGGTGAGAAAGGCGGCCACTTCAAGAAGTTGTCGTTTTGTGCTTCAATCCAAGACTTAATCGTCCGGGCAGTGTGAATCGGAGCATTGTCGTGTTGGAAACGCCAAAGCGAATTACCAAATAAATTTTATAAATCGGGAAAATCAGTTTCCACTACGTGTACACGAAAAGTACAAGAGTACTATATTAGGTTTGCACGAGCTAAGAAATGCAACAGGCAGAAGGAGGCGTGGCAGACCCCAGTGGCAGTGTATATCTAGTCCTGTCTGTCTGTCCGTTTGTCTGTCTGTCTGTCCGTATGAACACCTGGATCTCATTATTTTTCCGTTCGTATAATCACCTAAATCTCGGACTTTTAAAACCCAGGGACACCAAATTCTAGGCTCAGATGACTTATGTGAATACGCAGAAAACGTGCATTTTGGAATTTCCCTCCCTTCCCCCTCTCCCACGTAATTACAGATTTTCCATAACTCCCGTATTTTTTTTGGAATTTTTCATTGAAACTTCATGAGTCTGTACTCCGTTTCATATTGATAGACCGATTTAACAGGAAGTTATAGCCATATATGTCATAGTTTCTCCACTTGTTTTTGTATACCCTTCTACTCTACCGCTTGACGTGCTAAATAAAAATAAAAAACCTGAAAAACTAAATTTTATGATAGCCTCTGACTAATATTTCAAAGTTTTTGACTTTTAAAAAAGTGTTCGCCACACTATCAGCTGATATATCAAAGCTGGAAAAGGCTAGCGCTTTTAGTGTGCTGTGCTCGCCTCGCCGTTTGTTTAAATGAAACTGTCAAGTTTTGAAATGAAAAGATACACCATTTGACTTTTGGCTACAGAAGACTTTTGCTGGCGGCAGTGTCAACATTCTAAGTATTACGCCGTAGAGAATCCTCTTGCTTATGTACATATATACATACATATATACATATACTTGTATATGCATTATATTGCCTCCAAAATATCATTGCTACACCTATAAAACAAGAGAGAACGCTACAGTCGAGCAAGCCCGACAGTGAAATACCCTGTACCCAGACAAACTTCCGTCACTGAGTCATATGCGCCCATAGCAGAAGCAAAAAGCGGAAGAAGAATTTTAGACTAAAGTAGATAACTGTACATAGATTGCGTGTGCAAAGTTTGGTTTATGTAGCTTTTGAAATGTGGAAAGTATTGACGTAATTCTTTAGTGGTGGAAGGGGGGGAAAATTCCAAAAATAACACAAACTTGTCCTTTCTCGGACCTAAGAGAATCTGGATACCAACTTTGGGTTTTCTAGCTTTTATAGTTTCTGAGATCCTTGCGTTCATCTGGACAGACGGACGGACGGACGGACATGTCTAGATTGATTTCTCTCGTCACGCTGATCAAGAATACTTGTATATATGGGTTCGGAGATGCTTTCTTCTGCCTGTTACATATGTACTTTGCGCAAACCTATTTACCCTACGGGTACAAAGTATAAAAACACACGTAAATTTAAATATTAACATGCAGAATTAAATATTTATTTATTTATTTTAGTATTTTTAATGTGTGCAGACTTCAATTTGGACTTTAACATTCAAATATTCAATTTAAAGTGCGACGATAATTTATTACTAGTCAATTACTAACAATTCCTGTGTTAATGTGCTGTTATACGCCCTTTCCGTGAGTTCGAATACCCAAGGAGGTATAATCAATAAGATTTTTATAGCCTGTGCCCAAAGGGTGAAAGGATGTATGTAACAGGCAGAAGGAGGTGTGTCAGACCCCACAAAGTATATACATATATTCTTGATCAGGATGACAAGACGAGTCGATACCAACACAAACGCGCATAATGTACAGAGTATTTCAAAGTCGGGACACCCGACTTTAGCGTCTCCACTTGTTTTTTTTTAGTGGATGTCAATGAGCTTCCAATCCAGGCTTTGCTGATAAGCAAAACAAATCTTTTGTGGCCCTACATATTAAATAGAAATCAGTGTGCATTAATCAGTAATTAAAAATGAGTCTGTTGTCGCCGATCGAAGTAGGCATCGCTGCCGTTTGTCTGTTATTGGCACTGATCGCCATCACCTATCCGCCTTTGCGTCGCCTTCAGCGAGTGCGTCAGTTGGCTGCTCAATTCCGGGGCGCCCCATCGCTGCCTTTGGTGGGCCATGCACATCTTTTCTTAGGCCTTAGTCCGGCTGAAGCGTGCACGCTTTTTATGGGCCTGTTCGACCGGTATGGCGGCACGGTGAAACTTTGGTTGGGTCCAATCTTTAGTCTGCTGTTATCCGATGTGAGCGACCTGGAGGTGGTCCTGGGCGGCACTCAGCTGTTGGAAAAGGCTGACGAATATGATGCCCTTAAACGCTGGCTGAACGAAGGTCTTCTGGTTAGCCGAGGCCGTAAGTGGTTCGCACGGCGCAAGGTGCTTACTCCAGCATTCCATTTTAAAATCCTCGAGCAGTTTGTGGAGATTTTTGATAGGCAGGCGCGGCAATTTGTGCAGAGCCTACAAGTGGCACTCCAAAGCAAAAGAGATGTTGTCCATTTGGTTGATTACATACATTTGTGCGCCTTAGACGTAATTTGTGGTGAGTTCTACGTTTTCTCCTTATCTGTAATGTAGAAACATTATTATTTCGAGAGTTTATTGATTTGAAATTATAATCCGGCATGAAATACATATATACAATAATACATACATATGTATGTATATAACAAATTATAAATATATTAAAATATGGGGAACACTCACACTTGCAACTCTCCAACTATTGAGTTTTGCTTTATAATAATTTCTATGTTATCTTACTTGGTATACAAGTAGGAACCAAATCGGACTGCTACATTAGAGGAGCAATAGAGTATACAAATGGTGTATTTAAGTCATTTTGTTTGAAAGATATCAAAATGAAATAGTTATATCAAAAAGATATTAATGGAATGATCGGCTTTAAGCAGTCTTTGTATGAAAAATGTGTTTGCTCATAAAAATACACATACTTCTAGAATAATTTTCGAAAGTTGGGGCCGGTAAATATAAGCTATGGTGCCCCGCAGGTAGCGTAAATAATAAGGGCAACTGTGTCATAAAAGCTACCAAGATCAAAATATGGGATGTAGCATTTTAGAGTATGCATCCATTCGAAAGACTGTCCAAGCAATTTCAGAAACGAAAATGTACAAGTTATAAAATACATATGTACTTGTATATACATATGTAGATTACCATATGCGTCGATGCATAGCAAAATATCCACTAAACACATCACTAAATAGTATGTACCTTTAGGTGAGCAGAATGATTAGGACTTATCAGGCAAGTAGGCCAACCAGGCTGTTAGCTGTGGGTCAATGGGATCGCCCTGAACTCAAGCCGATGGAAATTAAATACACAATTTCCGTGGCATCTAGCACATAGGTGGCAATCAAGCAAAGTTTTTAGAGTTGAACAAAGTTCAACACGATTAGATAGCCCTCATACTACACATTTATGCATGTACAGGTATAGTGTGTGTGTATGTATTCATCAGTAGCTAATACGATAAGATTTCTGACCATAAACAAGACTTGCACTCAAAATATATGAAATTACAGGGACTAGTATGAGTATAAACCTATCTGACAGACTGAAAATGTTTCTAGTGCTTGGCATACTCGCGGCTAGTGCCGCTTTTGTGAGCCTGCTCATCTATCACCTGAAGTATAAGCACATAATTGAGGTTACCAAGAATATCCCGAGTCCGCCTTCACTGCCACTGTTGGGCCATGGTCACCACTTCGTTGGCAAGGCGCCGCACAAGTTGGTCGCCACTATCCAGGAGTTCATGGATGTCTATGCTAAGGGAAAGACACTCAAGATATGGCTTGGGCCAGAGCTCAATTTCCTTATGGCAGATCCCAAGGATATCGAAGTGGTACTGGGCACCACGCGCTTTAATGACAAGGCCGGCGAATACAAGATGCTAGAGCCGTGGTTGCGCGAAGGATTGCTTGTCAGCCGTGGTCGAAAGTGGCACAAGCGGCGAAAGGTCATCACGCCGGCGTTCCATTTTAAGATCTTGGACGAGTTTGTCGATATTTTTGAGCAAGAGTCTCGCGTATTGCTGACGAACTTGCAGAGAGAACATCAACAGTCTGTAAATCTATACGATTGGATAAATCTATGCACCATGGATACGATTTGTGGTAGGGTAGAATGTGCTTGTTTGATTGTGCGCCAAGCTATTGAACTTTATTTTATTTTACTTTCCTTAAATTTTATTGTCATTCTCTTACGTTTACACACACATTTCTATTGGGTTTTGCAGAAACTGCGATGGGGGTTTCCATCAATGCGCAGACCAATGTGGATTCGGAATATGTGCGGGCAGTGAAAACGTAAGTGACCCCAATGCTTAAGTCATACTCGTACAAATATACAGGGTGCGCCATCTTTTATGTCGATATGTAAACATAAAAGATGGCGCACCCTGTATGTACATAAGTTGCAAGTATACTTGTACATATGTACATTTGTTGTTTTGCTCGACACAATTAAGCACTGCATTTCTATGTTGCCGCAGGAATGCACGTACACGTACATACATACATTTATCGTGCGTTTGATGTCCGAATTTGTTCGGTTCGACGAAATGTTCGACGTCAGTGAAAGTGTTCGTTCTAAATTGGAGTGTTCGACGATTTGTTCGCGAAGAACAGAAATGTTTCTATTTTGCGGCTGTTCGTGCCAACATGTTCGACAATGTATGGCATTGTTGGCACGAACATCATTTGTAAGGAATATTTGTGGAGCAAACGCGTGCCAAATGAGCAAAGAATTTTTGATCCAATTCATTGAATGCCTTTAGAGCGAGCCATCATTGTGAAACAATAGAACTGAAGATCGAAAAATAAACATTGCCAATGCATTGGCAATAAAGCATGAGAAAATTTACTCATTTTCTTGCTTTACGAATATTTGAATTGCCAACAGTGTTTTCGTCCGCATCTATTTTAATGTGTGCACTTGCTGGAATTTTTTAGCAGTTGATATTCGCGAGCAATGTTTGCCACGTTAGTACAGTAGAAACTCCCTTCGCCGGACACTCTCGGTCGGCCAATTTTTGTCCGCCCAAGGCGAATGTACCCTTAAGGGGATACTTAAATACTTTATACGATCGATTGTTTTAGAAAAAGTTTCCGCCGAAGAGAGTGTCCGGATGAAAGAGATGTCCATTAAGGGAGTTTTCACTGTAGTTCTGTCGAACATATTCAGAGCTCATTGTAAGTCGCAAGAGAACATCGAACATAGGATATGTCACCTACATATCTCTATACATATATATAAAACAGTTTGTCCTGACTGACTGCTTGGTGATCAACGTACAGCCCAAACGGTAAACGCTAGGAAGCTGAAATTTAGACTTAAGTATCCTTTCATAGGTAAGGTGCCCAATAAGGATTTTGCAAATTTCGAGCTCCAAGGGGGGAAATCGAGCTCCAAAGTTTGTATGAAAAATCTACAATTTTCATCTGTTTAACTTTAAACTTAGTTTGTTTACTCTCAGAATTCCAAGAAAAACTGTATACTTGGATTTTTGAAATTTTTTTTGGGGACTGAAATATGGGAGTTTTCCTGTAAAAAGAAATGGGGCACAAAAGGAAACCGCGTCAACAGCCCACAGCCCAAACGGCAAGAGCTATGAAGCTGAAATTTGGGCTTAAGGATCCTATCATAGTGAAGGTGCCCACTAAGAAGGGATTTTGGAAAATTCAAGCTTCAAAGGGGGGAAAACGAGCTCCAAAGTTTGTTTGAAAATTCTGAATTTCTGCACCGATCAACTTTATATTTGATTTTTATAATCTATAAAAGAATACAAACAAAACTGCATACTCGGATTTTCGAAATTTGTGGTGAAGCTTGGTTATTGGGGTTTTAATATTTATTCACCTTTTCAAATGAAAAGTTTGTGTTTCTACGTGTGTCTACGTAACTAAATCTATATTTTTGCGTTGAAGGATTTTCAAAATATGCATTCTACAAATGCAGGCAGAACAAACAATACAAAATATCAAACAGTTGGGGCAACTAAGTATACATACACACACACACATACAAGCAGCTGTTCTTTTAGTTGCACTGACAGAGCAAGAAATGTTAATTAATTAAAAATTATTTAACATTTTTAAAAGAAATTTTTTCTTTGTTTAGTACATTTGGCATTACGGTTTTCATTAGTAAAAGTAAAGAGAAAGTAAAGAGAAACATGCATTCATATGTACACACATATGTATATGTATGTATACATTGGCCTATCGAGCACTGTTGTTTGATTGTAATAAATAATGTTCTATGGTTTTAAATCAAAGTTTTAAAACTAAAAACAACAACAACTGCAAGTCATTGGCTCGCGCTTCTTCTTTCGTTTTGATCATTTACGCCTGTTAATTTCAAAGGCAAAATGTCAAAAGTTTACAGTTACCGTCGCTAGGCAACGAATGCGTAAGCGATGGTAAAGCAGAAACCGAAAGCGGACCTACGCATATTCTTCTTCGCGTTGCGGGCAGATGTACATACATATGTTGTAATTGATCTCAATAAATTATAAGATGTTATTATTTAAATTTTCTGTTAATTGCATTCAAACTTCGATGGAATTATTGATTGTATCGAAGGATTCAACTATCGATAGTTTTGATGCTCTAGCACATCAGCCGATCGCATATTTACAGCGACTTACCGTTTTAGTGTTAGCTAACAACGCTACAAATGTATTCTGAACAAATCTAAGAGTCATTTACTTGTACCGTTAAGCCTATCTCGTGAGTGTATTCATGCGATTTACAAAAGCAGAAACACACCTTTTACATTCACAACAATCATATTTGGAATTGAAGACACAAATTAGTATTGAATTAAAAAATTTAATACATACTTATATATCCATATCATATCTATTATATGTCCAGCGTCGGACTTTTCGGGGATAACTCGACCGTGCGTACAACATGCTGAGAAAGCACCCAGTTAAGTTAGGACTGGCAGTCCGCCTGGTGCGTAACGAAGATATGTACATATGTATGTATGTACGTATAACCATACATAGTACTTATTGTACTATATTTGCTATTTGGAAAATGAACTCTTTAAAAAACTTTAGAGAGCGTCGAAAGAAGAATATCATATAGTAAACTTATAATTTTAAGCACATTTTACTTAGCCCAGCAAAGACGGGCAAGACCTGCTAGTGTATATATGTATATATGTATGTACAAGTACAGTGGCTCACAGCTTATTCGACCCAGCCCATAGTAAAAAAAAAAAAATAAAACAAACTCGTATAGAATACACACATAAGGCATCTTTCGACTCGTCTCGTCATGCTGATCAAGAATATATATACTTTGTGGGGTCTGCCACGCCTCCTTCTCCTTCCTAATATACTTCTGTACATTTCATGTACAGAGTATAAAAAAGCTCAACAATTCAATCTAACAGCTTACTCTACCCAGCTTATAAAATATTGACATAAAACAAAATTAAGGAACAACTTCGATATTTGACTATGTACTTAGTATGACCTCCATATTGGTCAATGACTGCCTTAAGCTTCTTAAGCATCGGCTCCACTAATTTTCTTGTCGTTTCCGTTTTTGTTGGGAATATTTCTTTTTCGAACATTCATGTCCAAAATCGCCTACAAATTTTCAATAACATTAATGTGCCGGCGGTTTATTTACGCGGGGACTGTTCCATATACTCCAAGTTCGTAGAATCCCGGTCAAGTGCTTTGGAATATTGACGTGGTAGAAACGAAAAGTGTCCCTTAGCTCAAGATCTTCAGCACTTTGGAGCAAATATTTTTTCAGAATTTCAAAGTACATATTTTTATCCATTGTACTCTGAACGAACTCCATCTTACCGATGCCCGCTGCAGACATGATATTCTTGTCTCTGTCCAGCTCTGTATTAGACTTACGCCAGAGGTATGACTGCCCATCGGAGCCGAAAATATTACTAGAACGCTTTTTTGTCTGAAGAGTCGAATTGAATATATGTACTTGTATTGAATAATACATAATACGCCCACACACTGCAGCATCACGTTTGCTCTTCTTCTTCGTTTGTGTGCTTCTGCTATGGGCGTATACTTGTATAACTCAGTGTCGGAAGTTTGTCTGGGTAAAGGGTATTTCAGTGTTGGGCTGCCTGACTGTAGCGTTATCTCTAGTTTTGAAATAAAATTCTCAGATGATATTTATCCTATAGCTGTCTGCTGTGTATTTTCGCAGAATATCCATGGTGCTGCACAAGCGGATGTTTAACATCTTCTACCGATTCGATTGGACCTACATGCTAACGTCCTTGGCACGTGCTGAGAAGCGTGCGCTGAACGTGTTGCACAATTTCACAGAAAAAATCATCGTACAGAGACGAGCAGAACTGTTGCGTAGCATTTCGGAATCGCCGGTTCAGCACGATGACGTGGACATGGGCACAAAGCGTAAAATGGCCTTTTTGGATATACTACTCCAATCGAAAATTGACGACAAGCCACTGACCAATCTGGATATCCGTGAAGAGGTCGATACTTTCATGTTCGAGGGCCACGATACTACCTCATCGGCTATCATGTTCTTCTTCTATAACATTGCGACCTATCCGGAGTGCCAGCGCAAATGCGTGGAGGAGATTGTGAGTGTGTTGGGTCGCGATACAAAGACGCCAGTTACATACGAGCTCCTGAATAAGCTACATTATGTGGATCTGTGTATCAAGGAGACGTTGCGCATGTACCCGTCGGTTCCACTGCTTGGTCGAAAAGTACTTGAGGAATGTGAGATAAGTAAGTAGCATTGTGTTGCAATTTTGATTTCAATCACTTAATACGTTCTCTAAACTAATTCGCCTTTCTACTTGTATTAGACGGCAAAATCATACCTGCTGGTACCAATATTGGCATCGCCCCTCTCTATTTAGGACGCTGCGAGAATTTGTTTAGTGATCCCAACACCTTCAAGCCGGAGCGATTCGATGTAGTCACCAGTGCAGAGAAACTAAATCCCTATGCTTACATACCCTTTTCTGCTGGACCACGAAACTGCATTGGGCAAAAGTTCGCCATGCTGGAGATCAAGGCAATTGTCGCAAATGTGCTGCGGAGTTTCGAAATTGATTTTGTGGGCGACGCCTCCGAACCCCCAGTGCTGATAGCTGAGCTAATATTGCGCACCAAGGATCCATTAATGTTCAAGCTGAAGGAGCGTGTATACTGAGCCACAAATTTCGTTATTCTACCGCTTATACTTTCTGAGATCCTTGCGTTCATACAGACGGACGGACGGACATGGCTATATCGACTCGTATTGTCATCCTGATCAATAATATATGTATATACTTTGTGGGATCTGCCACGCCTCCTTCTGTGTGTTACATACATTCTAATATAGCCTTTTACCCTTTGGGTACAGGCTATAAAAATAAATTTTCTCTCTCCGACCAGATTAACCACAAGCCGCGACGCCCCCAAATATTGTTTTATTTTTTGTATATTTGGAAATAGTTTATACATCCTTATACATGTACATATGATGAACATATTTGATTAATAAAAATATTAGTTCTTTCTATCCTCTATTTTCACACGATAATTTATTCATACGGCTCCGTTTCGAACAGAATAAACATGAAATTCAAGTTCACATGGATTTAAATTTAGACTGCTATGCCGCAAATCAAACGCCATGGATTGTTGTGGTTGGATTCAATGGAGTAACACATTGAGCGTGATCGGGAGCGACATGATTGGTTTTAACATCGAGGTGGGTTGGGCCCGTTCTATCTCTCAGAGTTTTACTCATCATTAGGTTGCGGATTGTTCAGAACATGATCATGAATGGCGTTGCTGAGCACCTCTAGACTAGTAGCGTCCATTTCGCGTATGAGGCACAAGGCAGACGACAGCAAATTGGCGTTGCGGCGCAGTCCGCGGCGTGGATCTCGAACATCGAACTGGGTCTGTGTGGCGGTAACTAGTCCACCGGCACTGCCTGCGGGAAAATACATTGAAGAATTTGTGACATTTAGTGGCGGCTGTGGTGCCTGTGGCGGTACGGCGGCAACCAGTTCAAAAAGACGACCCTCAGTCAATGGACGAGCAGAGCCTCCCGAGGCGATACGCAAGAAAGTGGAGGATGGCGGCGAGCTATTGAGAGCTGTAGTTGTGTCTCCGTCACCCGGCGGAAGGCCTCCAAAAGGATGGTACTGCAAGTTCTCCGTGGTTTCCTGGCGCACTTGTGCGACGGCAGCGGCAGCAGCTGCAGCGGCTGCTGCAGTAGCAGCAGTCGCAACAGCGTTTCGTTGTCGGGAATGAACTACGTGCTGCCTTGCCGCATTAGCGACGGCAGCTGCGGCAGCAGAGGCTGCGGCGGCCGTTGCAGCACTGGAGCAGCTAGCGTGAGCATGATCTCCGTGAAACTCTTGCGGCGGCTGCTGCATACAACGGCGTACTTCGTTGACACGCGATGTCACATCGACAACCAGATCCGGCTGCACACGCACTGCTTGGGCCGAACTCGGACTCTGTGCTTGTATTGAAGGGGACTGATCCTGAATGACGCAGGAGTGGCCTAGTATGTTGGTGACGTCATTGCTCGATTGTATGTGGCGACGGGAGGGTACACCATGTAAGGCGAGTGCGATCTCAGCAGGGCGACGAGAAGTAGGATGTTGTTGGCGTTGGGATGTCGGTTGGGCGCAATTGCTGGAGCCAATGTTAGCTATTGATGTGGCAACGCGCTCTCTTTCGCGTTCGATCTCCTCCTCACGTTCTCTCTCGCGTTCCCGTTCTTCGCGACGCGCTTGTGCAGCAGCACGCTTGGGGTTGACTGGCTCCGGTGCCTTTGCTGGTTCAGATTGACGTGGCACTGTGTAACGCTCATGCCTTAAAGCAGCCTGTAACTCTTTGTCGGTGACCTCAATATTATCCAGCTTTTTGATTTGAGGCAGCATGCGCAACACACAAGCGCGGTACTCAGAGCCAGCCGCATCGGAGCATGGATTGCCCTCTAGCCACAATGACGTCAAATTTCGAGCGTTCTTTAGATAGTTAAGCTCGCTAAAGTCTGGTATCTCATTTTTGCGCAAGTACAGCTCCTTCAACTCGTGGCAATTCTTAAGGCTGCTAAGTGTGTTAATCTTATTGACACTGAGCGCCAGCACCTCTAGGCGCGGCATGTCGAGGCATATGGATATATCGTCGAGATCGCTGCCCCATGCGTTCAACTTCACTGCTTGGCGAAAGTCTGAGCACTTCGATCGCGACTCAACAAGCTGCTCAGTTAAACGATTGTTGACCATTTTTTTTTATTAAAATGTACTAGCTATGGGATTGTATTTCTAATCAAAGCTGTTGCTAAACCTGCGTTGCTTATGGTCTTTTACTTACATTTTTACACAAAACCAACAGTATTTAAAAGCCGAAAAGTTTTTGCGCGGAAAATGAAAAACTTAAAGAAATGTGAACTGTATACGAGTCGAAGGTGAACTGAAAACTGAATGTCTTAAAATAACTATTTTATAAATGAATTATCAATGCCTACTTAATTTTAAATTTTTAACATAACGGTCAAGCGTTGCCACCACAGAGTATTTTTAATTCAATAACATATGTTAAATCTAGCAGCTTTTGTCAAGTAAACGAGCACGCACTAAGAAAAAAGTGCGACCAATCATTAAAAAGTAACGCCGACTAAATAAATAGCAAAAAGGACGCTTACATTTTTTCACAATAGTAGCGTATTTGGCTGTTCTAAAAGCAAGAAATAGTAATGATGAAAAGCATATGTAAAAGTGGCGCTGAGTTACGCCCAAAGACGCAACAAAATTTGTTAGCGAATGATTCAACTAATATTGATGCACGCAATGTTACTGACGAAGCGTGTGTCGAAGACAACCTCGGCCCATACGAATTTTTCCAGGCCAAGCTGCAGGCCATTGTAAACACATACGCACTTTAAGACTTTAATATGACTAAACAAATCTTTTTTTAGCGATCTGCAAATAATATGCTACACTTGACCAACGAAAAACCGCAAAATGAAAAAAAGCATTTAAACGATGACAAATTTAAGCACCTCTCTGTTTTAAGTTACTGCTATCCCGACACTAAGTCCAGCATTGCCTCTGTTGTCCAATACAGTGCAGAAAAATTGAATAAAATGCTGCAAGATACGCGAAAGCTTTTTGAATTGGATGGCGAATTAAAAACTGCATATGCCGCTCACTGCCAGCAAGCAACGAAGGCCAAGCAAGCTGAGGCCCAGCACAATCGATTTGATAAATACACAACGATGGTGAGCTAACTGCACTATTTAAAAAATTGTATTTGTTAACTATTCGTAAACATTTTTAGGACTATGCCAAATTGGAAGCGACCAAAAAGGAATTACAAGAGAAATATATGCAGACACGTGGCAATTGCGTAAATTTGAACACAAAGCTCGGATCAACACAAAGACTCTTTGAGTCTAAGTACCAACTACTATTGACTGAAGATCGCCAATTTGAGCGTTATCAACTAGAGGCAATGTAGGTGGAAATATTGCATGCCATAAACACAAGCGCTTAATTATTTTCCTCTTACAGCGAGGCCAGGGTCCAAATAAAGTTTGGTTTGGATAAGCGACGTATTGCAGCGACGTATATGAAACCATAGCCTGCTTATCCTGGCGGCTTTGTTAGTGTAGAGTCGTTGAATTAAATATTACATTTAAGCAATTCAAAATCTGATTAATTAATATGTGTAATTTTAATTGCCTCATAAATTTTGTTACTCAGTTACATTCACTTCCAATTAAATACGTTCTTATGTATACATACATACATATGTACATATATCAAATGAAATCGCTTACTTTGCTTATGGCGCGTATATGCCTCTGGTAGCACTCTTAACGCTGTGGCAACGCTGTGTCTACGTCATTTATGTTATCCACGAAAGAGTTACATTTCCTGGCTTGGTGAAATAATGCTTAACAGATTTATAGTAGTTTTAATTGTTTTTTTTGGCGTCGGGTATATAGGCGCCTGCATGACGACTAACTGTTCTAAGCAGTAACGATAGGCAGCAGCAACAACATGGACGAAGACACAAGAAAAAACTTAGCCGACTCTTTTTTGCGTGCGCCCAATGATGCGCATACAACGTAAGTGTAAACGTAACCTCAACGCCATGAGCTTTTGATTGCAAATATGTATGTACATATTTACAAATAACTTTCAAAAACATGCAGGAATATACCAGCGGCGCCCAAATCAGCGCCTGAGAAAGCCCGCAAAACAGAGCTGCACGTTCTTCGACTCACCGACGAGTCCCAGCAGATGACAATGGACACATTGCGCGCTATACATGGTCCGGAATTTAGGCTGGACGACATCAGCAAATATAAGGACCGTGGGCGCGGTGGTGGCGGTGTAAAACATGCCTACTGGGAAGATCGAGGTACCCTGATGGTGCAAAGTGTTCAGGGAGTAAGCAAAAAAGCAATCGGAGCTCATACCGATGATGACAGGATTCATCGCTATGCTCTGGCGAAATTGGAGAACTACGGTTTTCATCCGGAGCATTGTCTCGAAGCATACGAATACTGTGACTATGATATAGAAGCCGCACTGGTCTTGCTGTATCGTCGCTACATGCGTGTACCTGTTGAAGAGGCTCCAGCGTTGGATCCACCAAGCGATGCAGAGCTGCTCGACATGCGTGCGGATGAGAAGGAGGCCCTACAGTCCATTTACGAATGTGCGTACGAGGAGCGCGAACGCAATAGAGTGTGGAATCTAAAATTTAAAATCGAGCATCTCCTGGTCCATAGTCCGTCTGAGGTGCGTAAGGCACGCGAAGCGGCTGCTGCGGCGTCAGCAGCAGCAACTAAAACTGCCATGAATAAGCAAAAAAAAGCACCGCAACGATGTCGCAACTTTGACCGAGACGGAACATGCAAATATGGTCCCAAGTGTCGTTTTGCGCATTTAGCGCCTATTTTCGAATCGACATCCCAGACCCAGGAGAACAAGCGTGGTGAGTAGTGCAGTACATTTTTCCAGACTTTGATGTACATATGAACATGTATGTATAAGTGGAGAAAACTTCGATTTGCAGACAATCTCGACGAAAACGAAAATGAACTATGGTTTCATATTGAAGTGCGCTTTCCGCCAGGCAGTCGCTATCCTTATGAGGCGCCTCTTATCTATCTGAAGACAACCTGTCATGACATACCGCATGAGCTGCGCCTTCGTTATGCGCGCCATCTGTACCGCGAGGCACGGGAAATTTGCCGCGATGGCATTCCTTGTGTATATAGCATATGCGAAATGCTGCAGTCGGACGAGCAACTGGCTGGCCATTTAGATACGTCATGTTTTCCTTCGAACAAGCAATCCTTGTTCTATGAAGAGCCGGAGGCGGGTGGTTCTGCCTCCAACGGTGGTAACGATAATATTCCTAGGCCCACTCACTATGAGCGTGGGCAGACGTCACGTAATGACAGCGGCTATCGACGCAATGATGAGGAGTTAACACGCGAAAATCGGCGCCACCTGCAGCAGTTTAATGAGCGGCGCAAGGATGAACGCTACCACAAGGTGATTGAGGGCCGACGACAGTTACCTGCATTCGCAGAAATGGAGCATATTTTGGCACTAGTTGAAAATGCACAGGTGGTGGTCATATCGGGTGAAACAGGCTGTGGAAAATCCACGCAGGTGCCGCAATTTCTACTTGACAATTGGTTTTATCGGGCGCAGCAGCAAGAACGAACGGCAATGCCACATGTAGAAATAATTTGCACACAGCCGCGGCGTCTCTCGGCTATTGGTGTAGCGGAGCGTGTGGCAGCAGAGCGGTTGGATCGCATCGGGAATCTAGTGGGCTACCAGATACGTCTGGAGAACAAGATATCACAGAGCACACGTCTTACTTTTTGCACCACGGGAATATTGTTGCGACGCCTGGCCTCAGATCCCATGTTAAGTAGCGTCACTCACGTCATTGTGGACGAGGTTCATGAGCGCTCCGAGGAGTCTGACTTTCTGCTGCTTATACTAAAGCACGTGCTACGTGAGCGCAAAGATCTAAAAGTGATACTCATGTCGGCAACACTTAATGCTGCCCTCTTCTCAAACTACTTTGGAGGGGCGCCCGTGCTGGACATACCAGGGCGCACTTTTCCTGTAGAACAACTTTTTCTTGAAGACATTTTGGAGGCTAGCGACTTTGTAATGGAGACTGATACAAAATATTGTCGCAAGCTTAAGAAACAGGAGCAGGATGTACTCCAACGCGAGTTGGAGCACGCGGACGTCCAAGCCATGGGGGAGCCACCGGGAAAAAAGATCAAAGATGAGAAGCTGACACTAGCAGAAACTTACTTACGTTATGCAGGTCAGTAATTTATTGGTTTGCGATAAGTGTGGTCAGATCAACGCCAGGGAATTTAAAGAACCGGTGTTGGCTGAGAACCATCTGACGTGTGATATTACTATGGATGTCTTTGCCTTTGTTTTAAGTTTTATAATTTTTATTCGTTGTATGTACATACATACATACATATGTACATATTTATATGATCAGCTTGATGTCCGTCTGTCGTCATACATGCACACAGGCACGAATTGACACAAAATATATTGGGTTTGTGCAACGCACAAAATATGAATTAATTAAAATAGCCCTGCCATCTTAGGCAAAAGAAAAGGGTCAACCTCGGAGTTTGAGATAAGCTGAAAATTGGTATACACCTTTTTTTAAGGTTCTGTATGTTGTCTCAAAAGTCTCATATAATATCGTGTCCCCGTCTTAAGATATTCAAGGTCACGAAAATCGGTTGTTCTCACATATCTCGCTCCCTGGCTTTGATGAGATTTTACAAAGAGTAGAGTAGAGTATACAAGTTTGTAAAACGTTTGTATTCACATTTTTTCATACGATTAACCGTTTTTAAAATATAGCGCAAAGAGTACGCAGCGCAGAGTCATATATAGCCTAATGCAAGGTCAAGCATGAGTTACGGTTTATGACTATATATGTATGTACATACATATATGATCAATGATCATTTAAACGTGCACGTGAAAGCTCTAAAATCCATGGCATCTATATTCATCCAGATCCAAGGAAACACTTAAAAAATGAAATACGCAAATTTGCATAAGTGCATTTTCTTATAGTCATGTATTATTACATGACTTACTGTTAAATATATGACAGTTACCTTACGAATGGTTTATGCAAAAATCCTTGTTATTAGGAAAACATTTTCCTTATTTAACCAATATTGGATTTGTTTTTGGAATTGTGGTTAATGGTGCCGCTTTTGAATATGATTTATTATATTATACATATAAATGTATGTATGTGCACATGTATGTTTACTTTAAAATGTATTGCACATTAGGGTTGTCGTAAGCTACTACAAAATAACACAAAGTCAATAACTTGTGTACCTATAATTCCCATTACAGACTACAGCAGGACTACTTGCAAGTCTATCTACCTCATGGAACCCATGACAATTAATCCCGAGCTTATTGAATCTGTGCTCAAGTATATCGTGGAGGGGTTGCATACATGGCCCCGCGAGGGAACCATATTGGTCTTCCTACCAGGTCTCCAGGAAATTCAAACGGTCTACGATGCTCTGCTGGATAGCTCGCTTTTTTCGCCGCGCACCGGCAAGTTTGTCTTAGTGCCGCTACACTCGGCACTGTCCAGTGAGGATCAGAGCTTGGTCTTTAAGCGTGCCCCACCCGGAAAGCGTAAGATCGTGCTTAGCACCAACATTGCCGAAACATCGATAACTATTGATGACTGCGTTTTCGTTATCGACTGTGGTCTGATGAAGGAGAAATGCTTCGATTCCAACCGCAACATGGAGTCGCTCGACTTGGTCTGGGTTTCGCGTGCCAATGCCAAGCAGCGGAAAGGTCGCGCAGGTCGTGTCATGTCCGGCATTTGTATTCATCTGTATACGAGCTATCGCTACTACTATCAAATTCTTGCTCAGCCAGTACCCGAAATACAGCGCGTGCCGCTCGAGCAGATTGTGTTGCGGATCAAAACGCTGCAAATGTTTGCTTCACGTAACACGCTAGGAGTGCTGCTCGAAACCTTGGAAGCGCCCTCCGAGGACAGTGTCCTTGGTGCACTAACGCGTCTTCGTGACGTTGGTGCTTTGGACTCGAACGATCAATTAACACCACTGGGCCATCATTTGGCCGCGCTACCTGTTGACGTACGAATAGGAAAGTTGATGCTATACGGCTCTATATTCCAGTGCCTTGACAGTGTGCTGACGATTGCCGCTTGCCTCAGCCACAAATCGCCGTTCGTGAGTCCGCTTAACAAGCGTACTGAAGCGGACAAATGCAAACGCGCCTTTGCCGTTGGAAACAGTGATCACCTAACCGTATTGCAAGCGTATAAAGTACGTAGCACCAGCACCAGTTGCGGCTATGTCATTCATTTCTAATGTTTTCTCTTTAATAGAAATGGCTGGAGGTATCGCAACGTGGCAACTACTCGGCTAGTCGAAACTACGCAAGCGAGCACTTCCTTTCACAAAACGCGTTGGAGACCATTGCAGATCTAAAATATCAATTTCTAGAACTGCTTGTCTCCATTGGCATTGTGCCGCTTAATGTGCCTCGCCGTCGAAAGAATGCTAGCGATAACATTCTTGAGCTGACAGGTGCGTCGTTGTAATACTTCCATTTTATGTTTAATTTTATATTTGCGCTCTCTCAATAGGTATTGGGCATAACATTAACGGTGAAAATAATAAGTTGATCACATCGCTGATTTGTGCTGCGCTATATCCTAATATTGTGAAGATAATGACGCCCGAACGCGTCTATATTCAAACCGCTGGAGGCGCTGTACCACGCGAGCCGACTCACTTGGATTTACGCTTCAAAACACGCGGCGATGGCTATGTGCGAATACATCCGTCCTCGGTCAACTCACAGGTTGCTGTCTTCCAAGCACCTTTTCTTGTCTACCAAGAAAAAGTTCGTACATCATCCATATATATTCGGGACTGTTCTATGCTGCCACTTATTGCATTGATTTTGTTCGCTGGCAGTGACTTTAAGGTGGAACTACATGATGGGGACTTTCTATTTCTGCTCGAAAGTGGTTGGATCATTCTCAAGGCGTACAACCATGAGACGGCAGAAATGGTGCAGTGCCTACGTTCGGAGCTGATCAAGCTGTTAGAGGAAAAGATACGCGATCCATGCCTTAATTTGCTAAATCACAAAAATGGCTGCAAGATCATTGCAAACATCGTCTATCTTATTAGCAAGAATAATTAAAATCATTTAACAAGTTGTGTTATATGTGTACGAGTGTGAGCCGATTATGTGTTAGGGATATTAACAAATTTATAGCATGTTACTGTAGATATTAAAATTGTGTATATTTATATATGTTAATCGTTATCAAAAGTAGCAGACATCGAAAGCAGCGACCTTAGGCTTTTTATTCAAAATACAGGGTTGCGGACTTGAAAGATTCATTTGAACGTACATGTAAATATCATATGTAGAACTTCCGCAGATTAGCTGTTTTCCTTTGGCGATACAGCAGATCAAAGTCGTTTTATATTTTTATATGAAAAGAATTTTTGTATGTACAACTTTATGTTTAAAAAGATAAGTGCTCGAAATTTTGTATAAGTGTATATAGGTCTGTTGTTGGCGAATTGAACGTTGATGACCCAATGCAAAAAGGTTAAATAAATCATTCAAAAGTGTAAATACGTATTGTTTTGGTGCGTAAGTTTGTAACGCTCAGATGGATGACCATATGTTATAGGCACATATGTACATATAACTTTGTATAATAATATTAGTTTAATTAACAAATTAATTAATTAGTTAATTATTAGGAGAAGTAGTGATTAAAACAGAATATGCAAAAATCTATCCTTATGCTTGAGAGATTCAGGTGAATTCTTTCAAATATGGCGGAGCCTGGCCAGTGAATATGGCCTCGCTTTAGAGATATCTGACACTGGGATGCAGCACATTAAAAAATATTAAAATTAAAGTGTTTCGATGTCACTGCTAGGATGAAGTTTGTTCTCCAAGCAAGTCAAAGTGAACTCGGTCAACATATAGAATTCTAAATAAAATGCTTGGAGGCAAACTTTTACCTTTACCTGTAAATCACATACTGAAATGCTGCTATTAAATTACATGCCTCACATATCAAACGGGGTCTGTGAACTGTGCAATCTCGAAGCAACAGAAAGTGTTATGGACTTCGCCGGCACATGTCAAATTTTTAGAGAGATAGGGTTTTAACACCCACGGTAAACGATTTGGTATCTGGAGAAGACCAGGCAGCCAGGTGTAGTACCCTGGTTCAGGGAAAATATTGGTGATCGACAGATGGCTTAAACCAAGGCGATATACTCGTAGTACAAATATAGATGTATTGATAGTGTAACTATATAATTAAGGATCGTTTGTAAATCCCCTTAATACCCTACTAATGTACTATGTACTTTGATCCAAGACGATTCTTTGTTTTGCTAAAAACAATCGATGGAACAATTTTAAATGCAAGATCGACATATGGTAGACCATTTCAGGGACTAGCACGTATTCAATATTTGGAAGTGTGAAGAATTGTGGATCTATACATTATGAACCCTAAAGAAAACAGAATCGACCGAATGTGTCTTCCATACGAGCAGAAACCAATGAAAACAAAGAAACGCTAGTCGAGTGAGCTACAAAAAAAAAAGAAGAAATTTAATTGATTTAATTGATAAAACAAAATGTATTAAGTAAATTTATTAAATTAAATATATATCAAAATTGTTTTCTTTTTTTTAAATTAATCATTATTATTAATTATTAACACTGATCTAAAAAAGCAGCACGACTTGATTGATTTTGTTTTTACAAGAAGAGCGCCACAGGCTCAGATTCGTGTGAAGCACTTAACAGATCTATCATCGGATCATTCGCCACACTTTCTAACTTCTGGCCAAACAGATTGGCTTAAATACAGGAAGTACATAAGTTCCCATATGGATTGTTGCCCAAACATTGCCTGTAAAGATGACATAGCCAGTCAGTTAAAGCATTAGTGTCTTTAATGCCACTGGCGGCAAGACACTCCCCTACAATAATAACAGCTAATAAACTCCACAACAACAATTGTGTTCCCAGGCATATTGAAGAGCTGCGGAATAAGAGAAAGTTTCGGCGACAGTGGCAAGCCCACTGTGGCAAAATAGCCTAGAAGATGAGAAACACCGAGATCAAACATACTGCATATATGGAGCAACTCTGCCCAAACAGCAATCGATTCCCGCTGTAAAAAGTTAAGTCAGGCGAGAGTGACTACACAAACTGGAGAGTGGCCTCGAAGCATCGAAGAGAAGGCAAACACATTTGCGGCCCATCTAGAAAACGTCTTCAAACTACATCCAGCAACAAATAGCTTTGTGCGCCCACTAACCAACAAATTTGAAGCCACCACGCCTGCCATATTCCAAGCAAGAGAAGTTACAAGAGCCATTAAGGACCAAGCTTAAAGGCAAAACAGAAACAAGAATGGAATGCTAGAGTCGAGCGGGCTCAACTCTTAAATACCCTGTACCTCCCACCAAAAAGGAAAAAAAAAAATTTAGCAAATTATATTAATTAAATTATTTAATTAAATTAAATACAAAATATTCAATACGTATGTATGTATATACAAAAGTGCAGACATGTTCATGTACAGTTTCAACAGCATACATTTACAACAGAATCGTGTCTCTGCGTATTTATGTATGCGTGTATGTATGCAGCACAAAGTTTAACCCAAGCAGCAATAACAACAACAGCTGCGGGCAGCGCTACAAGCAGAGCATGGGCAGTGGTTTTATTTATGGCTACAAATTTCTTCAGAATTGACCTATCATGATGAAACTTGGCATACAGACACAATCACTAACGGGATGTAGTTACCAAGAACTACGGGAGTTATGGAAAAAACACGAATTGCGGGGGAATGGGGGGGTGTATCAGAATAAAAAAGAGATCCTTGCGCTCATACAGACGGACGGACGGACGGACATGGCTATATCGACCTTTTACCCTTTGGGTACAGGCTATAAAGAGGGAACTTGATGCTGCAGTTTGTGGGCGAAGTACTGGAGTGAAATTTGTTCGCTTATTACTTTTCTTAGAATTTACCGATTTGGATGAACTCTACGGGAACAGGGTATAAAACAAGAGAGAACGCTACAGTTGAGCAAGCCCGACAGTGTAATACCCTGTACCCAGGTAAACTTCCGTCACTGAGTTATATGCGCCCATAGCAGCAGCAAAAAGAGGAAGAAGAAGAGCGAACTTGTTGCTGCAGTTTAAGGGGTTGTACTGGCGAGAATTTGTTTCGCTAATAACTTTTCTTTGAATTGACCGAATTGAATACAATTTTGAACAACAGTAGAAATTATATATAAATTATGTGTGCAAAGTTTGGTTTAGGTAGTATTTGAAATGTGGACGCTATTGACGAAGCGGGGGAAGGGGGGGAAAATTCCAAAAAATAAAATAAACTCGTCCTTACTCGGACCTAGGAGAATCTGGATGCCAACTTTGGTTATTCTAGCTTTTATAGTTTCTGAGATCCTCGCGTTCATCCAGACGGACGGACGGACATGTCTAGATCGATTTCTCTCGTCATGCTGATTCAGAATATATATACTTTATGGGGTCGGAGATGCTTCCTTCTGCATGTTACATACTTTGCACAAACCTAATATACCCTTTTTACCCTACGGGTACAGGGTATAAAAATAATTATTATTCTACACATATGTATGTACATATGTATGTATGCAGTACTGAGTTTTTCAATGTCGGGACACCCGAATTTAGCTTCTCCACTTTTTAAATTATCTTTGAAAAATAACTTTATCTCGCTTATATAAAGCATTAATTAAATAGGGTAATGAGTTGGCACATTATATTATCCACAAAATGCAGTTCTTCGTTTTCTCTCCTCCTATATTTCGTTTGTAGTATGCTTGAGCTGAGGGCAAAGAATTTTGCAAGAGTACCGCAAGTTTTTCCCGTTGTGTTTATTTTTAGAAGACAATGTTGACGCTTGTGAACGAAATACAAGTAAATACATATGTACATATGTATGTAACTAGGAAAGTTTGCTTTCATTTGTGAAATAGTTCATGATGTCAAATATAAGCCTTTTATAATAATAATTAAAAATAAGTAAGTTTCAACTAAAATTATTATTTCAATTAGCAATTCTTAATTGATTATTTTGTTAAGAAATGTCGAGTTTCGCCCGTTTAAGCAATGAAGAACCTGGAAAAATATTGGCACTGCATAATATGGGGATGTCAATACGCAAAATTGCAGAAAATGTTGGCAGAAATAAGAACACGGTGGAAAATCTGTTAAGGGACCAGAAAATCATGGAAAACTCCATTCTGGACGCCCACCATTGGTTGATAACCGTCACAAAAGGCGCAGCAATTTGTCTCTACCGATATCCACGAGACGTGTGCCCCAAATTTTTGGAAGCTCAGAGAATATTACATATGAAAAAAGGTTACTCAAACCAGAGCTACTGCCAAGGTACAGTTTTCCAACAAGTAAAAATTTTGAGATTTAGAGTGGAAAAAGATCATTTTTAGGGACGACAAATGGCCCTGTGTCCGTGTGTCCAGAAACTTCCAAGGAGGGTCTCACATGATATGGGCAGCGTTTGGGTATAATGAAAAGATACCGATGTGTTTTATAACGCATAAAATGAATGCACAAAATTATGTAGTCAATATAGCCATGTCCGTCTGTCTGTCCGTCCGTCTGTATGAAAGCAATCTCAGAACGCGATCTCAGAAAGTATAAGAGCTAGAATAACCAAACTTGGTATCCAGATTCTCCCAAGTCCGAGAAAAGACAAGTTTGTGGTTTTTTTTCTAATGAACCCTCCCCTACTCCCCCGCAATTCGTGTTTCGTATGTGTTCGTATATCTTGAAGACTATAAGACCTAGTCACACCAAGTTCTAGTCCAAGATGCCTTATGTAAATAGGCAGAGCCTGCAGCTCTGCCGGCAGCGCTGCCCGCAGCTGTTGTTGTTGTTGCTGCTTTGGTTAAACTTTGTGCTGCATGCATACACGCATAGGCACGTGCTGTATATGTATGCTGTTAAAACTGAACATAAACATGTCTTCTAATTTAATTAAATTAATTAATTAATTCAATTTTTTTAATAAATTAATTTTTGACAAAAAAATTTGAAAAAAAATTTTTTTTTTTTGTGGAGGGTACAATCTATTTTACTGTCGGGCTTGCTCGACTGTAGCGTTCTCTCTTGTTTTAACACTTATAGCTGTACTAAGTGCGCTTTTCGTAAATTAACCGCCGCTGTGCGCTCAACCTACATACATACAAACAACTTTTTTTTTAAAACAAGAATAAAATGCTACAGAAGACTCAAGCCTTAAATACCCTGTACCTACTCCCTCAAAAACAAACAAAAAATTTAAATTTTTATACCCTGTACCCAAAGGGTACAAGGGTATATTAGTTTTGTGCGAGTGCACATTGAACACACAGAAGGAGGCGTGGTAGACCCCACAAAGTATATATATTCTTGATCAGCATGACAAGCCGAATCGATATAGCCGTCTGTCTGTATGAACGCAAGGATCTCCGAACGTATAAGAGCTAGAATAACCAAACTTGGTATACAGATTCTCCTGAGCCCGAGAAAGGACGAGTTTG